GGGCGGGGCGGGGCGGCTGCAATATCCATTAATGTGGCTGTTGATGGGCCAGGGGAGAACACCCGCCCCTCTCGGCGCTCCACCAGCCCTACCCCGCCCAGCGAGGGTATCCAGCCAGGCGCATGGACAAGGCTCGCCCTGAAAGAGTTTGGAAAAGCGGAAACCTTTTTCCCCGAGCATGCCTCGCGCGGTATTGCGGCTGCGAGGGAGGGCATTGTGGGGCAATCAGCGGAGGGGCTCGCCACCAGAGTCATCATCCGGCGAACAAAAGAGCAGCGGAGGCAAGGAGCGTCGTGTTTGTATGCGGCAGAAAATAAAAAGACAACAGCAGCCACCCCCGGGCAGGAAAGGGGTGGGGGCGCCAGCCTCGGCGTCAGCGCGGAGGGCTGGACGTCGTCGCAGAGCCCCACACCGCGTCCCGCCCTGCAGCGCGCCCCCCAGGACACCAACGTGCCGAGCATCGAGCGCTGCCGGCTGGGCCGACGAGCACCTGTGCCCGCCGCCCGCCACGGTCCAGGGCCGCCCGGCCCGGCCCCCCAGCCCCCAGGGGGGCTCTCAGGGGGGCAATGGGGCCCCGCGGACGGCGCCGTGGACCGAGCAATCTCTAATGGCCAGAGGGAGGGGGTGGGGGCCGTGCTGCGGGCGCCACGGCGGAGGGAGGCCACAACTCTACCTCCAGGAACACCACAGCACCTGGTGCGGGGCCAGGCCGGGGGGCGAGGGGCGCGGCCAGCGCGGCGGGAGCAGACCCCCCTGAGCACGCTCGTCTTGTTCCAGGGAGGGAAGTCCCGGCGCTGGGTTGGGGGTGGGGGCTGGGGGGTGATAGGGTGGTTGTGGCAGGAGAGGGGAGAGGTAGGGAGGCGCGAGGGGGAGGAGGGAGGGGCAGCGCGCCACTGGCGGCGGGGCGGGGCTAGCGATGGGGGAGCGGGGCGGAGTTCCGATTCTGACTCAACTTCCGAGACAGAAAACACACCTACTGTGTGATATTCATAGACGGATATATTGGGAGAGGAGGGGAGGGGGGTAGAGATAAGAGTGACAACTGCCGCCTTCTCCCGCCGCACACGTGACCCGCTGTGCAAGCAGGTCGCACGGTTTGCATCCCCCACCCACCCCCCTCGCTTCTCTGGCTTCGGCATGCCTCCCCGTCGCCTTGCGTGATTGAAAAGCGCACTCCCACCAGAGAGGCAAACAACCACCGGGGTCTCTAGACACTTGTAACAAATTCAGAGGAAGAGCCCTATTTCAGGAGAAAATGGCGAAAATGGCCAAAAACTTAAACCTCCCAATAAACCAACAAACTTGCAATAGTACAGAAGTGGACTTACCTTGACTACATCTTGTGATTGCAGAAGTCTCTGAAGGCCGCCAGAGTCAACTAGACTTGGGCAGGTTACAAGGTCGAAGATGAAAGCATGTCCTGTCATTAAACCAAGTTGAATGGACGTCAGCTGACCTTTGGTGCCCAAGTTAATGCCCTCACAGTCCATTGACACAGCCACTGTTGGTCCACCAGGTTTCACTCTTGAAAAAATATCGTCTATTACTTGAAGACTCTCTTTCACATTTGTGATGACACGGGTAGACTGTAACACTTTTGTCTTGTAGGCTTCCACACTTTGAGCTGACAAAGTGGGTGATGGTGAAGCAGTGCTCGTTGCAATTGTTGGCGGTAAAGAAGCTGTCACAATATTTCTGTCTTTCTCAGAATTGTCAGCAAGAGTCTTCATTACAATAGAATTAACTCGTTGCTTCAGTGACTGATTTTGAACATTTGTTGATGGTGGAGGTGGCAGTAAGGGACTCAATGGAACAAGACTTCCTGTTCCACCTTGGTTATTATTAACATTATTTCCACAGTTGGTATTATTATTAGCTTGATTTTGTTCTTCAGTCTGGTGAGCTTCAATACTTGAATCTGTCTTAATTTTGGGGTTCACCAATGTAACAAGATTTGATTGAACATGAAACATATCAGAACGCATCTTCAAAACTGTTGCAAGATCTTGAGAAGTCTGGAAGATGTGGTGATATGACTCCTCAGGCAAGGCTCTAACAGCATTTTGAAACAACTGGTCAACAAGTTGAGGACCTTTGTTTTCAATGGCTTTTGCAAAAAATAAGTAAAGCCTATCAATGACTTTTTGATCAACATGTGGTTCTTCAAGTTCATGGAAAGGTTGAGGTTCCCTACCCTCCCACTGCTTAAGCATTACAGTGTCCTCTTTCACTATGAACGCTTCTGGATAACGACACAGAAAGTCATGGAACTCCTTGACATGTTGTCCAGATATATGACGAACCTCAGGCGAAGCTTGAGATCGATGCCCCAGCAAGCTCTTGATGGGAACTTCAGTTCCAACCCCATACTGAAGAAGTTTGTTGACGAAATAATCCACAGCTTCTTTGGCGTAGTCTCTCTTGGAACTGTCACCATCTTCAGAATTTGATGGTGCTGAGTTGAAGGCATTCACGTGAACATGATCACCATCCACAGTGAACAGTGAAGGATACTGGGTGAGAAACTTCTTCAAACCAGACTGTGACCCTCCAGCAATTTGCCTCATTTCTTTGGTGAAACCCTTAGCTCCAAATTGACAACTAAGATCATGGAGGGTTCTGGGACCACCTTTGTCCAGTAGTTTTTCAAAGAAGAAGAGGAGAGTCATGTTTCTCACCATCTCATACTCTGAGCTATCCATTTAAAGTTTTACTTTCGTTGACGAAGACAGAAACACTCACAACAACCTCCTCCACCCGGACATGTTACTCTCCGCACCGATTCAACGTTGACTCGTCTCCCCCACCGTGGCTTCGTGACTGAGGTGGAGAGTGGAGTGGTGTGGTGTGGAATCCACTACGCAAACCAAAATAAATGGGGGGCCGCGTTCCGAGAACCGGGAGCGGCGCCCCAAACGCCATCTGGTGTCTGAATCAGCAGACACCTTTTTCGCTGTCAAATGCAGTGTTAAGCCGTAATCGACTCAATTTTCGAATGCAAACATGTTTTTACACAGCAATTATCAAACTGGAGGCCTGTAATACGCGTGACATCATCGGAATTCTGAAAAATGTCGCGTCCAAGTCGTGCCCAATAACCTGCCAATAACCTTTTACCCCTTTGAACACCAACTTTGACAGATGTCAAAATCCACTGTGCCTAATTTCTAAGAATTAAATATATGACTTTTTTCACATTTGAATCGTTTTAATACCATGAATTTTCACACAATTGATACAACATATTTTACGTTCCGAATTCACCCTAATTTGCCAGTTGTTGCCACGTTTTGAAGGAGGCTGTGACGTGAGCAATGTAAACAATCAGCTGGATCAGCTGTGTTGTGTTTTGTATTTTCTATTGAGGAATCTGGGATACGACATATTTCAAAAATCTCCTTCTCCTTACCTGAAGAAAACTTGAAGCAGCCAAAGTAAGAGCAGCGTGAAGTATTATTTTTAGTCCATAGTAAACTGCTCTGGGCATTTGCGGCAAACACTTAACCTCACATCCTCGCGCTTTATAGCGCCGCTTTTTATTGTAAAGCAACGCGTTCTTAATGTCAGAAAATATAGATTTATTGCAAAAGCATATTTTATTGTGTTTTATTTAATTCTGGTGCGAAGGTTTGGTCAAAGTTTTTTCCGCGTTCACACTATGACTGATGCCGGTCGGTTGCCATCTATAACACTTATCTGGTCTAATAATATCATTTGTTATATCGTGTTACAGAATGGCTTTTACCAAGCTGCAGCAGTGGTTATTAGCACTTGCTACTTTCTCTGGCTTTTGGGCAACACTTGTTGCTAAAGCAGCACAGCCGCAGCATTTTCTCCATAAGCATGAATTTCTGGTTCTCGCTCTTCCAGTTATTCTCATTGGCTTATTTGGGGTAAGTTCTCTCCGATTAATCTTCCATCCACATTTTGTACATTATTTTATACTTTTTCCTCCTATTGTTCTAATTATAATCGAAACTTTCAGATATATGCAGTTTTCACTGTCCTTTATCGGGTCTTCACATTCAACAATTGTGAGGAGGCTGCTGAGGAGTTAAATAAGGTAAGTAATACTGTTATTGTTTTCAATCGTTGCAGTCCTTCAAGTGTGCCACCATATGGTTCTTACTTTCTGAAAACTCTTACAGCAAATCAAACAAGCAAGAAAAGATTTGACCAGTAAGGGGTTCTCTTTTGAGAAAGTCAAATGAGGGGTAAGTCCTGTCTTTCCTTGTCACCAAAACCCAATGGTTGGTGATTTAATTTTGAAACATTCCGATGTTATTGTTTGAATTGGATAAGCTTAATTATGATGAGATGGGAGAATAATGTAGCTAAAGAAGGTTGGCATAAGTGAGGACGAGGGAATTAGACAAATGTGATATTACATATTTTAAAATAAATATTTATTCTCATTCAGTCAATGACAATGTTTGACAATTCCATAAAACTTAATCCTTTGCAAAACAATTTTTAGTATAATTAAAATGAATTCAATTAAAACACACTTAAACATAGATTTGGCATCAAGACTAATTTTAAGTATGTATGTTTGGAATTCACTTACAAAATACTGGGTTCATGTAAAGTTAAAGATGTCTTTGTTTTCGATTGTTGCTGATGAATGAACTGATTCTTCACAATTCTATCTTCATTCCCTTCAATCTCTGACCAGCAAAGAGGTGTGACCGCAAGTCTTTACAACTAATCATATAAATATGTTTGATCAATCCTCCACCTTGCATTTAACATTTAATGTTCCAGATCACAATGTGCTAGGTGGCAGCATGGAAACTGTATTTACAGTGATAAAGCTAATGTCTCCTACATCACAGGAAATTATAACCACAACAATAAACAAGAAATATTCTGGTACACATGGTAAACATTGTTTCAACTTAGAAACAAAGACAGTATATCTAAATTTTCCTGACAGCTCGAAAACTGTCAGTAAATAGAAATGCACAAGGAACGTACATGTCCTCTGTACATTCTTTGAGTAGTCATGATGGGAGAGAACAATTTCTTTAAGGCTTACAAAGTTGCACCTAAAGAAAACGGTTTGTTTTGGAATCACAACAGATCTCTTCTCTCTCCTTGGATCAGTGACAGCTTAATTCAGTCAGTTAATGTAGCCCCTAATGTGAATATTTATTTAGAGCTCAGAGTGTATAAACTGTGGTTTCAGTTCTTCAATGCGCTTGATGAAATCTGACTTTTCAAGGCAACCATCACAAGTTTCATCCCAGTCATTTAAGATTTTCTTTAGATCTCTCACCTTAAGTTTCTTGAGATCAACAGTTTTCAAATCAATTGTTTTGTCTGGAGGGAGAAAATTACAAGTTAGGGGATATTGCATGAGTATGTTACGATAAGGAATTATTGTTAGAATAAAACTTACCATAGCGTAAGTCACAAATTTGGTTATCCTTCTTCTTTAACTTTTCACAGATTTTCTCTGCAGGCATTGACCATGACAGGGGTTTAGATAGTTCTCCTAAAATTCCCGTCGCTGATTCATCTAAACCTCCAAGATAGTAACACTGAAAACCAAAGCCATTTTTACATTAGAAAACCTGTTTCTTTCTTTAAGAAGCCTCATACCAATATGAGAAAATAAGGAACTTACAAGTCTATTTTCCTTGCTCTTAGATCCTTTACAAAACTTTCTGAATTGTTCTTCAATCTTTTTGGGGTCTTTACGAACATCGTCTGACAATGAATTGCTGAATTTTTCAACTACCTTGAAACAAACTGAAAAGGAACCAAGCATTAAGAGAAATAGTAGAGAGTACCGATACTTTTTGAAAACTGACAATTACTGTAGTTACCTTCACAATCTTCTGGTTTAAGGGCTGAAATAGCTCCCAAAAGAACGGAAGCTATCAGCAAAAGCTGGACGAGCACTGCGTAACAAGAATTCATCCTAGACAAAAGCAAAACACAAATATTGGTAAGTTTAGAGTAATGACTAAGTACACAAGAATATTCTGCAAAGATTAGGGAGCCATAACAGAAGTTTTAATGTCAGGAAATGAGTTTAACAAATAATATTAATGTTAAAAACAAAGGCTCTTAGAATACTCTAACCTTACAACAGAGACTAAATGAATTTCGACAACAGCAAAACTTAAATACATAATTTAATTTTGGTTTTCACCATAACTTAAAATGAAAAAAAGAACACACAAAATGCTTGATGAGTTCTAATGGTTCTTATAAGAACAAACAGAAAGTGCTCTTACAGACCCATCTAGCCAAACCAAACCTGTTAGTGGTACAACTTAGGGCTGAACAAATATCTTCAGATCAACTTGACAGAATGACAGTAAGATGATGTTACATTTCTACTATTAAACATTACAAACCTATTCAAAATACTCCTGCACCTGTTGTGTCAGCACGTCAGCAGTACCGGTATACGTCAACTGAAGAATTCTAACTCCTGCTATAAGACCCAAGACGTTTTGAGTTTTCCACTAGCCTCGTCAAAACCAGATGGCGAGCTGTGATTGGCTGGGGGATATCCCTCACTCTGTTTCCGTTTCCGTTTCGGCGACGCTGCCTTGTGGTCAGTGTTAAAAGGACACGTCAGACTTAGCTTTGGCGGCAAATTTCGACTTGATACGCTGAAGTATAAAGGAAATCTGGATGGTTGGTTTCAGCTCTCACGACTAACTTATATTATTTCAATCAACTAGCACTGACAATGCTGTATTTTTCTCCCAAAATTTGATAGTGTCGTGCTATGTGTGTCAGATGTGAAAGTGGACTCCGATTTGCCGCTTGAATGGGCAATGGGCACGCTGTTTTTGCTCCAGCTTGAGAAAGAGCTTCCAGATATAGCTGTCGCATTCGCGTGGCTAGCCGCTACTGGCTACTGGCAGAGCCACTGGTGGTCCTTTTCCCGGAAGAAGCCAACGATTGTTGAAATAAATGACTTATTAGGATTTCGAAGGACCTCGGGAACGCTGACGAGCGATCAAGCCCCAGCACACATTGGCCACCAGCGAACTGACTATATGCAGTCCTCGCTTCCCCTCCCCAGGAACGTTCCCTGTGGCTTTTATCGTGTTTTTACTCATGAAACCTAATCCAAAACGTCAAATTGGTGGCATAATCAAAATAGTCAGAATATTCATATTTAAAATTTATTTTATGAATGGTGAGTTACCAGTTGACTTTTTAGAAATCCACAGCAACTTAATTTATAAAATAGGTAGTGAACAAAACAAAGTTCTTACAAAGTCACACGTCATACAATATCAAGAAATACACAAAGCTACAAGAAGAGATAAGTATAAAATGATCAACTCAGGTACATCAGCATATGAAAACTAAAACATTTAAGTAAAATCAAAAACACAGCCTTAAGCATTATATAATCATATGGCAGAAGAGAATATAATGTATTTTTGGCAATTTTTTTCCATTGGCGAAATGTGTTAACAGTGTGCGTCTTAGAGAAGACTCATACATAATAGTAGCTAACATCACAAATGACGACTCTAAAAAAATTGAGCAATGTCAAGAGTAAATCAAGGAGCATGAAAGTTGACCAATCATAATAAACGTGCATCTAAATGTGCAACTTTGGCAGGTACAGAAACATATACACATGATGGTCATTTATTTATGGAGCGATCCCTAGAAAATTCTGTACAACATAACGTGCAGCATTTTTACTTCACAGAATGTTTACATAAAGCCCCAGGAGCCTGTGTAACTGTCACTTCTGTCACTGTAAAAACAAGTAGCAAGAATCAGTGTTATGAGAATAAACATTCATTATCAAAATTTTGATTGCACAAGAATAAAGTCAAATGCTCTTAAAAAGTAAGTTAGTAAAAATAACAGCACCATGAGTTTTTAAAAATATGACTGAGACAAACAAAACTGATTAGCAAGTTACAATTATTGCTGTAACATTATAGAAAACTCAAGAAAATTAGGTAATAATATGTATTCATAATATTTTAAAACAGCATTGCCTACTTTCAGGCTCATCCATCACAAGGCTAGATGGGTAGTTAATTGTTTACCCCCACCCCCAACATTCCCTTTTCCGTGGACATATATGCCTAATTAAAACAGGAAATTGGAAATTGATGATTTCAAGATATGTTTGTAATGCAAGCCAGCAAGTGCAAAATACACTCAAATAAGTCAATTTTTTCCCTTTAAGTTTCAATTTACTAGGTGATTTGAAACAACTCTAGTATCAGTTCTCAAAATTAGGAGAGTGAAATATGTCATGGTAATATTACCGTTCTGAGTAAGGAGGGGGACTTTCAGGCCTTTCACGGAGAGGAATAATATTTTTACTTCTCATATATCCAACCACCTGAAAATAAGACTCAATTTGTAAATAAGATTGATTTTTTAATATCACACAACATACTGGAAAAATCACTAAATGGATGTCATAAATACCTGATCTGGAATCTCTGCTAAAACCTCTCGAGCAAGGTATGACTTTGCTAATGCTTTGTCAGCTAATCTTTGAAAGTTGTTGAATGGTACGAATTGAACAATATCTCTTGCAGCTCTGATACCATCCATAATCAATGGAACAGTGTCTGCATCCAGTTCATTCATTGCAGAAAAATCAGCATTGCCCACTCCCACTATTATAATTGAGAGTGGAAGATTTGAAGTGCGGATAATAGCCTAGGTCAAAGGATCATACCCTGAGTAAAAACCTTCAATTGTAAATTTTCTGCGTTAACTTTTATTGAAAATACCTGCTTAGTTTGTGGCATATCAGTAATCACACCATCAGTGATTATGAGCAAGATAAAGTATTGAGACCCATCTTGATAGGCCTCAGCAAATTTCCCAACATGATTAATTACTGGTGCAAAGTTGGTGGGACCATAGAGCTGTATTTGACGGATGCATTTCTTGTAGGCTTCAAGTACACCTGAGATAGAAGAGTGAATCAGCAAAGAATCTAAGATTAGTAAATCCTTCAATGAAATTTAAAAAAACTAAAAAATACTGCGCATGATGATTTTGTGTGCGTTTTTTTCTTTTGCCCAAACACCAAGGATGTAAATTTTATTAGGACTTCCATTCTTTACCACTTAATGTGGCTTGTAAATTTTTACCTGAAATTCCTTCACAGTACGGATAACTGGGGTGCATATTGACAAAGAACTCATGTGACACCTGACCATGAGGAGGGATCCTTGCCCCAAATCCCAACACAGGAAAGAGTTTGTCACTGTCATAGTCTTGAATTATTTCACCCACAGCAGTGAGAGCTTGCTCATACTGATTGGGCTCTGATGACCCGGTGTAATGAAGTGATGTTGGTGAGTTGGGATCTCCATTTGATGCTGTAACCATAAAGTGTTTCATCCAATTAGTACAGAATTTTTGAAATGACACAAAGCAGAATATCAAAATTATCATCCAGCTGACAAAACAGAAAATAGTTGAACAAAAAGAACAAAAGATAGGTCACAATAGTTGACAAAATTCAAGTGTATCACAGTTTACTATGATGTAAATACCAGTATAGAAGATTCATGCAAAACAGACCATGCATTGAAGAAAGAGCACAAATTACCATAAAGTGCATAAACAATTTCAAGCAAAATTTTTTCAGCAGCAAGGGATGTAGAACTACGTTCTCAATTTAAACCACAGGAAACATGAAGCAACACAAATACTCTCAGACAGAACACAATGAAAATGGAAATAAAGTTTGCACTACAGTGCATTAACAACACAAAAATGACAATATCCCATGCTTGGTTTGGTTTTGAGCTTCCACTTGCCTGTGAAATCAATAGCAACAGTGCAGTTAAGTTGAGTACCACTCATAATGTAGTCCAAGAAGGTATAAAGTTTTCTTTTTTCAAAATGAGTTAAAGAAATTTCTCCTGAATGTGTATATGTTCCAGCCTTTTTTTGCTAGATTTAAGGTAAAGTTTAACAAATGATCCTAAAGGTAGAGTATAAGTTACCTAAATAAAATGTTTAAAAAAATTACCTGTTTGTTTGGGTTTATCACTCTGTAAATATTATCTGGGCTTGGTCCCTCACTTAATTGCTTGAGTGTTGTGTAGAAATGACCTAAGAAAGTACACGTGTTTCAATTAGTACTTGACATAGATAAATTGAATGAAAGTATGTATGATGACATTAGTTTAACTTACCAATCAGACTGTGGTTTCCTGACCTATTCCAGTCATAACATGTGACACGAATACTACGATCAGCATCTCCACCGCACAGCGTCCTAGCAGTTATGGTAAACGGTCTCCATTCTGGATTTAATGTAAATTTTATTACTTCTGTACGGTGAACCACAGAATAATCTCCAGTTTCTGCTACCTTGGCAAATTCTAGAAATGGATCCGATCTTCAGAACAGAGAAAATGCCTTATTAATTCAGAGTGCATAATTAAACCAGCAACCACAATTTGAGGGTAAGTGATTGTTCATATACCGTAGGCTACAAATATCAAGGGGTTTCTATGAACTTCACTAGTGATTCTGAACCTAATGGGGGTCATGATATGTGTTCCCTCTTAGGGCATGTAAGTAATGAACAACTCATGAGGCAATGTAAAAGGGAAAATTAAAAACAAGGAGATCTTACTTTCCTAACCAATCCTTCCGATCAAGTGACTTCCCAACAAATTTCAGAGTAATTTCATCCACACAGACGGCCAGTTCCTCAGCACTAACAATCAAAACACCCTTGTTGAGAGGCATTCCTGTGAGGGGCATAGTAATTTTTCCAGAAGAGACAACCTGCAGGACACAAAGGAAATTGTGATAAAATATTGCCCTACTAAATAATGGAGGGAAGACCTAATATATAACGTCTTGTACCTGACCCAGTGTTGTTGCACAATAACCAAGAAAGTCTTGTTCTTCTAAATTTGGATTTTTGGTGTCAATATCATACACTTCAAAGCGTAATATTTGTTGTTCCTCAAAGCGATACTGAATTTGCATCTAAAAATAGGGGGAGTAGATAGTTCATCAATTGCTCTTAAACAAAATAAGGTGACACTATTTACAACAAACCTTTTTGACAAAATCAGGGTTTAAAGAATTTGTTATCTTCTCAGTTCTAAAAACTTCTCGCCATTGAGGAATCTCTGCTGACTTCATTTTGACGACGCATAGCGGATCAGATTTTGAAAACACATCACAATCTAAAAGGTTTCTGTAAAAGAAGATACCAAATGATGTAAAAAAGAAGACCACTAGAATTCAGTATAACATTTTAAATTGCTAAATTAATTAAGTCAGTAATCCAATGGAAATCAAACCTGCAAGATATGGTAAGCTCAACATCTGAAGATGGCAAAGAGGCTGATCCTGGGACAAATTCTGCCATGGCTTTGACGCAGAGAATCAAGTACTACAAGCTCATACGTTCAATCTTCACTTGTAACTGCTGAACTAGCAGAGCTCCAGGATGCACTTGGTAGTCAGAAAACAACCCAAGACATAATATTTGTCAGATTCTGTCCCAGATACATATGACTCAACTCATTCCAACTACTGAATGGAGTGTTGAGTGATAAGCTCTGGTTGTAGTGTGGATGTACATATACAGCGCAACAAAGTTATTTTTAACTATAAATATAACTTTAAGAGTAGATTGCAGCGATTAAAATTTTTCTTCAATGTCTTTTCCCTCGTAATAACAACAGAGAAGGCATATGGCTAGGCTACGGTTATGTTGACATTTCGCTGTTTTTCACATCCACAGCAGACGACAGGTGGGAAAAGAGGGCCTGCTCCAAAAGGCAAAATTTACGGCATGTCGTTTTTAGGCCCGATAAACATTGATTTATTCTGAAGGAAATAGAGATATTTACATTTAATTGGACTGAGTTTTCATTTCACCAAATAGTTTAACATTTCACGAGTTTGATAAGAAGTTAAAATCAAAAAAGTATCACGGTACAGCAGAACGGTTGGCAGTATTCGTTTGTTTACGTACTGTCATCTGTTCAGGTCGATATTATTTGCAGACGAGGTGGGGTGGCGTCTGCTCAGATCTATCGTCTGTTTGTTATGGTCTGATGCATAACACTCTAAAACACTGTATTTTTACTTAAAAATTTATTTTCTTTTGCGAAGTTAGTGATTCCTATACCAAGCAGAAATTATGCAGACCATTGTGTGCATTAATACTCATCACAATGTTCACAATGGATCCCAATACTCTCCAAGTCCGCAGGTAAAATGGATGGGACCTCCTCATTGTTATTAAATTTATTAGAATGATTCAATGTTAATGAGAATCCTTCAAATGGTTTAGAAATACTGTTTATTTAAATTTCAGGACCTATTTATTGTGTTCATTTCTCACTCAACATAAACTTATTCATTGTGATCACTGTCGCTTTTCTCCACAAAGGATCAGTCAGAATATTCCCCTATAGAAAAATTATGTTTGCTGAATTACAATTGGATAATGATCTGTTGGGAAATGTTTTATTTTGTTGCAGAATCCACACCTTGGGTTAGGGCTTCAAAACCTATTAAGCTCTTTTAAAAAAATCTGATGATTGTCAACAGAGGTACAAGTTACGGATTTCAAACGCGTCCACCGGATAATGCAGAAATGTTCTTTTCATGGGAAGAAATTGTTGTGTGGATTGGAGTCACACTGTTTGAAGCTTGGATTCATACGGTTTGTCTCACAGTCTTCTTGCTTTTTTTAACATTGAAATTGGATGGTATACTTGACAGGTCATGGTGGGTTATATTTTCCCCACTTTTTGTTGGTAATGCGCTGAGTGCATATTTTTGTGTGATTGGGTTTATCCGAATGTATCTTGAGGGATTGCGAAAGCATGCTTTTATTAGGACAATATGGAGTTTATCTTTTTTGTTTCTTATGACCGTTTTTGAGGTGCTGCTGATACGAAAAATAATGGGTAATAATAATCTAGAATATTCTGAAATATTGTCACCAGTGTTCATCCTTCTGCAGCTAATTACTGCACGAACCTGTCGCCTGTATGGCTCCTAAAGCACCAAAATTTCTGACAAATTAGATAGATAAATTTTATCAAACTTAATTTCAATCTCCTTGATATACTGTTTGATTTTTTACAGTAGGAATTTATATCCACGTAATATTATTGGTTGTGTACTAGATTTTATTTGTACGTAAGTCTACTACAAGTCCAGTTTTTTAGTATTGTGTTTTAGGACGTTGTCAAGTTTTTTACAAGTACTGAGAAATTAGTAAAAGACTGATTTGCTTACTGCAAGTTTGGTTGACTGTGATGTGTTGTGTTGATTTCTGTTCACTTTTTGGTTTACCCTCTAGGATGTTACAAAATAGATATTGAAGAAGTTATGCACCTAGATGCGTAGAGCTCTTTTGAGACTTATGTGTGAACTATATTTAAAAGATTGAAAATTGCACAAGGTGAAGTGCAATTATTGCGACGTGTGTTAGCACATAATCCTTGCTTTTTCAATGATGCCAAATTTACCTCATATCTTATACCCTCTAGTCAAGATTGAAATAAGCGCTTTATTAATTATATCTACCCTCAACCCTTTTATTATAGTAGAGTTGTATGTAAGTATGGCTCAAATGTATAGATAGTTGACATTTTAGAAATAAATTAGACATT